AAGCAAAGAACTTCACAATCAGAGGTTCAGTGATGAACTGATTGCGATGAACTGATTGCCAATCCTAACGGGTCTAGATCCTTCTGGTCGGTAGCTAAAGCTGTTAATCAGAACTTTACAAAATCCACAATTCCACCACTTACACAAGCGGATAGTTCACTTGCAACAAAAGCTATAGAAAAAGCAAACCTTCTAGCTGAACAATTTGCGTCCCACTCCACAGTCGATTTTCTGGCAAAGGCACCACCCACTATTCCTACACTAGAATCCACAATGCCGGAAATTACTTTTCGACAGCATCTAGTCAGGCGAATTTTGAAACAGCTCAATATCAACAACGTGTCTGGCCCTGATGAAGTGCCCGTCATCGTACTGAAAAAGTGCGCAAAGGAACTCGCTATCGGGATCGTCCTTCAATCAAGTGATATATTTAGTAACTTTTTAACCCCCTTCCTCCCTCTCTGGTGATGCTTGGTGATGTTGTGAACTACCCTCCCTCTAGTCAAAATCACATGTATTTTTTTGATAAAAATATTCAAAATATCTTCAAGTGCATAAAACAAAGAATATATTCAATATTGTAGAATAGAGAAAAGTATTTTATTTGACCATTTTACATACAATAGTACATTTATGGCAAATGACAAGTACATTTTCCTCAGGCCACGAAGTATCGAGACTTTCTTCAAAACTAATAAGTGGCTAAGGCAGTGTAGGGTATAGGTCATAAGGCAATTTGTCAATAACTTTTATTTGTAAATACACGTGATTATTCCGCTACATACCCCACCATCCGTGGTGATATTTCGATAGTTTTTTTCAATTTCGTGTCCTGCCTCAAGGTAGATTCTGTATATAGCCGAGATTGTTGGTTTGTGCCGGAATGAGAGTTTGTGGTTTCCTAATCTGACCGACAATTAGACTAATGTCGAAATTGCAGAAAACTCAAATGTGTGTTCAAAAAAAGGCAAAGGAAATATTTTGGTTGAAGTTCTTAAAAATTCAATAATAAAAAGTTGATTTCAAGATATAGCGAGACTATGAATGTTTTTAAAACAAAAGGTAAATGAAATATTTTCCTCCGCAACTAATTAGCGAATAAATATATCAAACCAATGTTATAGTCAAAGTTCTGGAAAACTTAATAATAAAAAAGTCGTATCGCCTACTTGAAGTCAAGTTAGCGAGACACCATGAGAAAAAATATTTTCTTCAACAACAAATTAGCGAATAAATAGCGGCAAATTGTGAAATCATTAGTTTTGAAAATTTCGAAAAGTGTCTCGCCAACTTGATATACATGTTGAAATGAACACTAATATGTCTTGGCCCAATCATGTCGCTGGAATTGCAAAGGCTGCTTCTCAAAAGCTTGAAACACTGTTCCGAACCAGGAAACTGTACACATCTCAGCAACTTCTGATGCAGTATAAAACTCGGATCAGACTTTGTTTAGAGTATTGTTCTCATGTATGGAGCACCGCCCTTAAGCATACTGTAATGAATTAAAGAATTAACTGTCTTGAACAAATTTATTTTAACAATACTTCACTATCACAACTAATTTATTTACACCACTCAGTAACTAACGCTTAATTTATCTTCACCATATCCACAATGAAACCCTCTCTTACTTATAATACAACACCAACAATGATTTCGAACTATTCAATGTTTATAACATGAAGTACACTCACCCTTCTCTCGTCGAGCCAGTAAATATAACCGTCGCCCGTAGTGAATTCAAATTAATGGATTTTGGGGGAATGGCTCTTTTTTCGGGAGGCTAAGGATTTTCCCGACACCCACATCTTACGTAATCATCCTCTGTGCCCTGGCTGTCTGCCAGTTCAATCCAGGGATTCCATATCCGACAATCTCAATTGCAAAACTCAGCAATACATGACGTAATCCGGCAATTTCAATTTCGGGCGAGCGAACGTGGAAATTTTGAATTATCGACGTGGAAACAGATTTTGCGAATGTGGCATCAGCTCAATATTTATATTTGGATTCAAATATCAGACGAATGTCCAGGCTATTCATGTTGTACAGAGTGTGCCAAATTGGACACTTTTAAAGAGAAACTCCTGTTTTCAAACTAGATAGATGAAAACTGATGGCTGTGTCTGAGGGCCAAATTTTACGACAAACCTAATGATGAAAACCGCATATCGATATCTATCATCGTTTCTGAGTAACGGCGTGTTTTTTGAAAATGTACATTTGTGAAAAATTGCTATAATTTTTTTTTTGTCAAACATTTCTTGTTTCAGAGAAAACATTTCCAAAGCACGTAGAATTCAAAGGTGGGCAGTAAAAATGAGTGAAAAACAATGAATTGAACATATAAATTGACGAAAAAGTTAAAACAGTTTGAGTAGAGCCTTGATGATGATGACACGACCAGCTGTCGAAAGCGCTCGCATATAATGCATATGATAAATAGGAGTTATAAAGCTTCAAATCCTCTTTGTGACAAATATTAATATATGTCACAAATATATACACAGGGTGTATATCTGTATATACAGTGTGTCAATTTGAAAACTTCCCACCCTCAATATCTCCCTTCCAGTACATAATATGAAAAAATGGTCAGACAGGTCAACTTTATTTGCAAGGGGGACACTCTGAATGAATATTTTCAACCCTCGGGGTTCAACCCCCTAGGAGGGGTGGATGTTACCCTCAGAATTTCAAATGGAAAGGGGGGTCAAGTGGCACATCATTTTGAAGGGCATTCAATTCNGTGGCATTGAAGTGAGGATCACCCCTGAAATCACTTCTAGATCCTCATTAAGATATGCAACCTCCTGCTGCCGGTGAAGATATGCCTCCGTAGCCGATGTCCTGGAATCCAAATGGAATGACGAGACAAGTGTGCTGTCGTCAGCAAAGCAATATATTGGATACTTGATTAATGGTAAAAGTATACAAGAGATATCCATCGACTGCCACTAGCAGGAAACGTTCTTTTGGGAAGCTGAAGTGCCATACACAGAAATTATCCAACAAGCCATAGCATCGAAGTTTGACCAGGAAACCCTCATGCCACACGCGGTCAAAAGCCTTAGAAATATCAAGCGCAACAGATCTTGATTCTCCATATTTCTCGATTGCGTTATTCCAAATATGCAACATAGAGGTTGAGAGACGTAAATGTTATCAAAACTTTAACCAGTGAAAAGATAACAGATAAAAGTTTCCGGTATTTTCAAAAATAAATGTATTTTACTGCTGGACAAAAATAATATTTTCTGACAAACCTTGTATACGACTGAAAAAATTTGTTATCTGATGGTTACATTTTAGGTTTTAGACCATGCAGAATGATTTATTAATGATAAGTTTTTTCGTGACATTATAATAAAGAAGTTTTCTATATGGTGCGAACTTAAGTAGACGCACTTCATATTACTATCAATCAATAAATGCGGTTATTATTACCATTATTATTACTGGTGATCGATGTACCTGTTTGAATCTTTTCAAAGTACATTTTGTTTCATCTGTGCTTTTTTGATAAATTATTGGATTTTTTATTATCGGCAAATTGAATTATGGCATGCCTTGTGTATGTAAATGAGCGAAAATTATAAATTCTAATACGGTGATAAACAGTGTTTGTAGGTTGTTCGATTGCGTTTTGCTGAATTAGTGACTGCAAGCGTGAAATGGTTTCGTGAATATATTGAGTATACACATTAAATGAATTTCCATAGGTTTCAAGAAGAAAATTGTTCTGTTATGGCAAAAATCTACATACTTCAAATGACTTAGAAAAAAGGCAGGAGAGTAACTATTAAGTGAGAGAAAACGATATAGTGTAACCTACCTTCCAACAGTTAATATATCTCGCTTGCGTTTCCTCAGTTATTTTTATCAAGTACCTACTATTCTTGGTTTTTCACATATTGTCTTCAATCAAGAACCGCCTGCCCAGTACTGACGATGCCCAACAGGCTGAAACAGCTGTATTGGAGTAGATTCATGGGAATAAAAACAGTCGTCAGTCGTATGCCATGAATCCTTCACAAAAAAAACAAAAATGGTATGTTAACACGTTTTATTTAAAAAAAATATTTTTCTTCAAATATTACTCATTTCAGTTCTTGTCTCAATTTTTCCAGTAGATACTTTCGTATGCTGAACATTGAATTTTGAATCACCCCATACCAACATGTAAACTCACCCCAAAGAAAGATATAAACTTTATTCAGCCATTAACTGAACCAAATCACTCCAGTGAATGGCATTTTTTTTCTAGCAAGACCGCCCTTTGACCACGGCGGGGAATTTTATTTTAAATGAGAAAAGTTTGGAAAGTTTTAACCTCGAATCCTCTCGTTGAGCGTTTGCTATTCGAATAAAGTGCGTTCCAGATTTAGAGATTGGAATGAAAATGTTTTAAGGAGGTCGAAACTTTGCACATTGATTACCTGTAAAAAATTCCTGTCCTTGACACTTTCAAACTTCGTTATCGTAACCGGAGGACTTCAACACAATTGCAAGGTGGACGATTCTTAACATGCTGTATCTTCTTCTATGTTAGTTCAATTGTTTCATGAAACATAGGACATATTGGTGTCCATTTCAACCCCCAACAAACTTATCGAAACAGAAAGAGGAATTGTCTAACCTGTCTTAATTATATCCGGTTCGGGGACATTTATGTTCTTGGAGAAAACCGATGCCTGGGTTTTTGTGGCATTGAAGTGAGGATCACCCCATTGAAGACATTAAATTCTTTATTTTGTTACAATATCTATAGAGATGGAAAGCATTTCGGACAAGTTGGTAGATAACGAATACTGTGGTTTAGGGCTCTGATTTCAACCATTTGAGAAAAACAAAAAAAATTGGTGTGGAAGAAAAATTTGTTTTTTTAATTTTCTCCTAATTTGAAACTTATACGAAGTTCGTCATTTGATAGTTACTATCCCACAATACGCATTATGAACGTAAACTCTAATTTACTAAAATTGAACTAGTCTTACCTTTTGGAGCAAATAAGGCCTATTGCAAAGTTCTTCAGGACTAATATTATTATTGGCACAAGAAGCCTCGATGGGTTCAGCTCTGTTAGCTTGTAAAACCCTCACAGACTGAAGTCTTCTTCTCAAATTTTGGAGTGCACGTGCCTCCTCCCTCTTTCGACTAGGCTGAAAAAAAATATTTATTTCATATTTATCAGTAGTGTTGCACAATTTTTTTGCGTACGAAATGATTTGTTTATACAGGATTCACTAAATATGAATTGAAAGGGTTATATTTTTAGGAGTGATTAATTTTTGGGAAAGAAAGTTTTTGGCTTTCTACTACTCCATCTGATACAAAATGATTTGTTTATACAGGATTCACTAAATATGAATTGAAAGGGTTATATTTTTAGGAGTGATTAATTTTTGGGAAAGAAAGTTTTTGTGTCAAACATGATCTTTATTTTGTAAATATTCTTGATAAAGGAAAAAAGTAAATTTCCGAAAGCTTGAATAGCAAAAAATAGTGTTTCCATAGCCCGCAGAGATTGACTGAAATACCCAACTCGAAAATATTCTATAGTTATATAACAGCCAGTCAACTAAACTTGACCTTGAGAGTGCTTTCGACAGCTGGTCGTGCTGTCATCATCTAGGCTCAACTCAAACTTTGACTTTTGAATGCTTTAGACTCTTTAGAGAGTCTGAAAAACCAGGAAGATTTTATGGTGTAGGTTTTAATATTACCAAGATCATAAACTGGTTTCCTCGAGACTACAATTCTCCAAAGGCAGATCTCATTTACAGAAGCAATTACGTCTGAATGAGGGTGAGGGGTAATGAAATGTTTATTGGGAAATAATGCGAAAGGAAAGCTAATTTATGGCCATGTTTACTCTATTTTAGAGAGCAGAAACAATTCGTACAAAATTACGAAATTCCACGATCGAATAAATCAGTATCTTTCATCTGATAAATGCAGCCAATTATGCGAGAAATAAAAGCGATCCAACATTGCCTAGAAGGAAAACGAAATAGCAATGAAATATTCTGACAACACAGTAAGAAAACGGATTTGCCGTACAAATAGGATTTCGCTAGCTGTAGCGTGTTCGTTGCGAATAAATAACAGTTTTGATCCCTAAATCGCATAGACCATACCGTTGGGGAAATTACGACTTGAAAGCAAAATATACAAAAGAAACAAAAGTGTTCTGTTCGTCATCCCAGTTTTAGGTATGGGATGTATCATTCAGATTTTTGTGATCTCATTTCACAGTATCAAAGTATAAACCTTGGTATATCTCGGGGATTATAGTATAATCATTAGAGCGATAGGTACTACTGTTATATATTTCTTTATCATATTCAACTTCGAAAGCACCGTAACAAATCACTGATAAATAAGTGTATAAAAATTCAAAAAAAGACTATTTGCCATGGAGAAAACATATCCAGATATCCATTCTATACAGCACACAGAGGGGTATTTGACCCAAAAAGCTGGTCAAAATTATTTCACATCATGTTTTGCTTTATTTTGGTTCGATTAGGTGAGTAACTAATCACAATATTTTGGGTATTCAGACTGAATAATACACTGTGTCCAAGATACGAATGAAGAGCATGAGGATATCGGAAACGGTAAGTGATAAGGGGTCGATTGAATTAGAGAAAAGTAGCGCATTTATGTGACTAATAGTATGCCGTTCAGAAAGTTGTAATATTCCGAGTAGTTTCGGAGATATCCGAGAAAAACCGAAATTTGAGAATTTCGTTTAAATTTTTTCCTAGCTTTATTTTCAAACGAAATGTAAAACAAATAGCACTTTGTCATGGCCACTTTTTAAGGACTACACGAAAACGTAAGCAGAATTTTTCTGCGACGTTTCGTCTTTTAGTACACATCATCAACTTTGTATTTTTATATGGGTCAAAACTAAAATATACCCTGTATTCGACTCCATTTTTCATTGTGAATACAGCAACATATCACACAATATGATTTCGTAACTATTTCTCGCGCAAATTGAAAAGTGAATATTTAACCTGCTTTTCTTCAATTTTAGCGCTGGAAAAAATTACACATCATGCTGTCATAATAATACTGTTGTTTGGTAAAATATTTAACATATCACCGTTCCTACTTTTACATCTCGTTACCTACCTAATTTGTGTTAAAAATGGAAAATGGCAGCTTTTTGAATACTGAAAAATTTGATATGTTGTCATGTCATGCCATGCCAAAGAAATTGTGTTCATGCTGAACGTGCGTACTCTAATAAATATCCAGAGAGGCGACAACCTGGTAAATCAATATTTAGACGTTTAGTTCTTAATTTAAAAGAATACGGATCATTTAAAAAAAATACCTGTGGTTTCCCGACAAAAGCAATCTAATGAAGAAAGTCAGCGTGATGTGTTACAGGCCGTTGTTGAAAACCCTGAGATATCCACTCGCACCATTGAACATAATACCGAAGTGGCCAAATCCACCGCTCACTTCATTTTAAGAAAAAAATAAATATCATCCATAAAAATTTTGGATTAGTCATGGACTCAGACTAGATGACGATGCGAAGCGAACAACCTTTTGTGAATGGTACACTAGAAAATGCCAAGACGATGAAAATGTCCCTTTCAAAATAATTTGGTCTGATGAAACTAAGATCACCAACAATGGCATTATTAATAGGCGGACTGTTCATTATTGGTCACAACAAAATCCGCGTATACACAAAGTGTCCACTCATCAACATCGTTTCGATTTTAACATGTGGGTTAGGATTCTCAGGACGAATGTAATTGCGCCTTTTATCTATCAAAACAATTTAACAAAAGAGCGATAAATAAATTTGCTAGTGAGTGATTTAGAAGACGCTCTAGATAATTTGCCTTTAGCGGTTACTCGCAGCTGCTGGTTTCAACAAGATGGTGCTCCAGCACATAACGCTAGAATTGTTTGTGATTATTTGAACCGTCGCTTTCCAGGACAGTGGATTGGTACTCATAGTGATACATCCTGGTCTGCAAGGTCCCCCGACCTAACCCCACTAGATCAAGTGTACTCTCATAATTTTCAAAATCAAGAAGATTTGAGATTGGTTACTGCATCTTTCAACAATATTGTTCCGAATATGTTACCTCAAGTTTTAAATTCGTCTGTGAGACGAGCCTACTTGTGCTTAGAAAATAACGGCGGGTTATTTGAACACTTGTTATACCACGAAATACTGTCAACCACCTTCAAACAAACTTGGTATAAGTTTCAGTTTCGTTCATTTCCTATATTACATATTAGCTCCTTGTTATTAAATTACAATTACATTTTATATACTAAACTTTTGATATTGCGACTCATCTTTGTATTCAACAACGCAAAAAATCCGACAAGTGGTAAAATTTATTATAAATAAGACTGATCAATTTACACATACATCAAAATATGACATTTTTTCCAGGGCGTACTATTTAAATTTGAAAAAAGCAGGTTAAGTAATGACTTTTCATTTTGCGCGAATACAGGGTATACTTTAGTTTCAGCCCACATAAAAATACAAAGTTGATTATGTTTCCTAAGAGACGAAACGTCGCAGATAAATTCTGTCTACGTTATCGTGTAGTCCTTTAAAAGTGGCCATGGCAAAGTGCTATTTGTTTTAAATTTCCTTTGAAAATAAATACGAAATTATGAAATTTCGGTTTTTCTGGGATATCTCGAAACTACTCGGAATATTAAAACTTTCTAAACCGCATATTATTAGGCACATAAATGCGTTACTTTTCTCTAATTCAATCGACCCCGTATCAATTACCGTTTCCGATATCCCCTTGCTGTTCTTTCTTATCTTGGACACAGTGTATAATTATTTCTTCAAAAAACACACTTAATGAAAAAATATAAGAATCAATCTGAAGAGTCATTCCATACTCATTCATCTGAGGTATCAAAGGAATTATTTTGCGCTGTCTGGAAATTAGGCACTAGTTAATCATTGTGGGAATTTTTCCAAGGAAGCAACATTTCAAGAGCAGCTAGAGTGAAAACCTTGGACTTCTTTGGAGCCTTTGGTCTTATGCTACTTAAGTATGAATCAGATGTCAAAAGTAGGCGATTGATGACATCCATATTGCATTGTTTCCTAGAAAATTTTCTGGAGTAATGTTACCGAAATTGTCGGAAATGCTTATTCCGTGCTTCTGATGCCTCTTCTGGAAGACTGCCACTAATTAGGAAAGCTTGTTCAATAATGATTGGACCATGTTTTGATATCTTGTGGACAGTGAGTGTCATCGGATACCAATGATACAAATTTACAAAAAGTTGGGCAGTTTCATCACAAAATAATTAAAATATTGCAGTATCGATGTCATGTGTAGTAGATATAACTTCCAGGATTGTTGCGAATCTGACTGCTGGTATTGCAATCATTGCTGAATCCATAGTCTGGCTTGAGAACCTCTACAATGACACCAAGCTCATCTTAAACTGTTTTTGAATCAAGTGTTTTCTTTGTTTGATTATGTCCTTCTCAGCTTCCGATCTGACCTGCCACTTTTGAACTGGTATTTTATATGGAAGGTGGAGAGATGATTCCAATTGGGCTAGTTCTACCGATCTTGTGTTTAATAAATCATTTAATGTTTTCGAAGTAGCTTTGCAGATGTAGCACCTCATATAGTTGATGCAGTTTGAATAGCTGTATTCAAACCTTTCCATCTTGTCCAATATGATATTGTGAGTGATATGACAACTGGATGATGAGTGACCTTACAGACTTCTAAAATGAGTACATTTCTACGGAATTCGGTTGCTTGGAAGCCTAGATAGCCAGTAGTAGGCGAAACATCAGCTTTCAGTTTATTCACCTATTCATCCAGAAGAGTTGAACAGGTAACAGGTAACTCTTATCTTTCATCTTTTCCAATTCCTGTGCATTGATATTTTGAAATATGTTTTCAGATTCTCTCATTCGGCTGAATATCTGCAATTGATCCCAATTTTCTTCGACTTCATTTAGACAAAGACTTTTGTTCGGCAGAATTTAGAAATGTTAAATCTTTCATGTAAGTACAATAATAATCTTTCGAAAACAAATAAGTACAAAGCCTTTGGAAGATACTTGTAGTTCAACATGGGAGGTTATGCTATTGAAATTATGTATATTTCTTAAACTACGTACTTACCATACACTTACACATTGACTATTTTAGGTTCTCCAGGGCATACTAAGCTGATAAGTTTCATACAGTAAAAACGAATGAAATCTATCCACACTAAAAGGTAACATAACAAGGTACAAGAGATGAAACCTAACCTCAAAAAAGTTTGTCTATTATTGAATTTAGTCCTCGATCACGATAATAGTGGTTTATAATCTACAAAATTAGGCAAATACTTCCGTTGAAGTTTAAGCCACTAATTTCGTGTTGTTTTTTGTTCGGGACGAACACAAATAACATATTCGGAGTTTTTATTGATGTATTAGTACACTGAGGGACTGCACACCAACGATACACTTTTGAATCCATATTTAATAATAGTTATCACCAAATTCATGGAAGAGCTTCTAGTGTTTACATGTACTCTACTCGAACGTGACGTCACAATCGACGCCATAACACTTTGAAGTGTTTTGGTGCAAGTTTTGAACTTATACATCAAGGTGTATTCATATCATACGAAACTTTTGTTTTCTGCGATAAAATGATATACGTTGTAATTATAGTACATTTCCCGCATTATAGAACAGTATTTCAAACTCTGTCATCATGCCTATTCTTTTCGTAGGAACTTACTACTCAAACGCGATTCAGAAATGTATCCAATTTCACAATATCGTCGTAGACACAATGTCCAAGTATGAACAGAAAAATGAAGGTATTGAAAAAGTTCGCAAATACCTTTTGGCTTTTTCGTAATGAAAATCCAAATAAATTATCCAGGTGGATACCACCTGGATAATTATCCAGGTTTCGTGATACCATTATCACGAAAATTTCGAGAATCAAGGAACTCACCGTGTGGTGGAGCCAGACCGAACGAAAGACAGAAAGTTATATAGACATAGTTTTCCTCGTTTTTCAGAGGAAACGCGCAGTTAATAATGTAGAAGTTGCTCTAAAAGTAACAAAGTGGATTGCCATTTTCTCTTGGAAGATTTGTCATTAGAGTTATTGCTGGAGAATTTTCGTCTTTCTTTTATCGAAAAAGTAGAAAAGAATCCACTTGTGTTCAGCATTTTGAGGAGAAAAGTTGACACATTTATTTTTGAATTCATTTGAAAGATTTGTCAGTTTTAGAGCTATAATAACTTCTTCAGAACAGATGATTACCTGAGACGTTGAATGCATGGACGACTTTACAAGGTATTTCTTAATAACATAATAGTTGATAACGTATTTATTCAATGTCATTATTTTTGGGTACATTTCGAGCAAAAACTTCATATTAGCATGTGTCGTAAATGTCTTAGGTTTTTGATTGTTCAAAAGTTAATACATAATTTCATCACACCATATGGATGTGATTGAACATCAAAAAACATTAACAGGATCAAAATTGCCCGGAGACGTTTTGAAATTCGACGGTGACCTTCAAGTGGAATGGAACCGCTAATGAACTTATCTGCTGACAAGTGTACTTCAAACAGCTTTTTAGAAATGGATCTGTCTTGAAGAAAGACACGTTATATCAAGTAATATTCTTTGTGTTGGATATTCTCTAGGTTTACTGTTTTTAGGAGTATGTATGTGGTTTGTGTAATATATTGAATGTTAGGTCTTGTGTTTCGATTTGTATTTGTTCCTCGATAAGTGAATTATGACTGTTAAATTTATGGATGTTTAAGGTTTCCCAGATGTCCATAAATTTAACAGTCATAATTCACTAATCGAGGAACAAATACAAATCGAAACACAAGACCTAACATTCAATATATTACACAAAACAATACACACTCCTAAAAATAGTAAAACTAGAGAAGATCCAACACAAAGAACATTACCTGATGTAACCCAAATTCAGGCAAATTCACATAAAGTACCTGCAGTACCTGCACTAAGGCATTCGGACCTCATAAAAGGACAAATTGTGAGGATGACACGTTCAGTTTGAGTAGAGCCTTGATGATGATAGCACGACCAGCTGTCGAAAGCGCTCGCATATAATAATGGCCCCCCCGATCTCCAGATTTATCCCCCTTAGATTACTTTTTGTGGGGCCATTTGAAAAGTAAAATATACGCCACTCAGCCAGGTTCGTACCCTCCTAGGGGGTTGAACCCCGACCATTTTTTCATATTATGTACTGGAAGGGAGATATTGAGGGTGGGAAGTTTTCAAATTGACACACTGTATTTGAAAAAATAAGTTTTGTACACCAGTAAATTCTACCTCAAAACTAATCTGGAAATGAATTCAGAGGTACCTACATGAAATTTTCGACAGGAAAAAGGTTACAGCAACTTTTCGAAAAAGCACATTTTCGACAAGGAACGATGGAGCTACTATACAGGGTGGATCATCGGGAATTCAAAATTACATGCCAACGACAGGGTGGCAGTTATTTTTATCAAGTAGTTTTCTTGGTTTTTCACATGTCGAAATATCAAGGACCGCCTGCCCGATACTAACGATGCCCAACAGGCTGACACAGCCGTCTACCGGTGGCTCATAAATTGAAATATGTCTGTCTGTTCTGTCTGTTTAAAATATGTTTTTCCGTTAACCAGCTGTCGCACCCCTACGAACGGCAACCCTCAGAAGTAGAAACTTGTGCGAGCTAAGGATTAA